GGGGGCGGGGGGGGGAGGAAAGCCGCTGTCGCGACAGCAGTTGGCGTGACCGGTTTGCCGAGTGCGGCCCGACAGCTCGCTCTGCCGGGGGTGCCGCTCCGTCCGGCGCCTGCTGTGCTGCGGGAAGGACGCGCAGCTCACGCGATCTGACTGTTCTAACGTCCGAACGTGGAACGAATTCGGACTGAGATCCCCGTCATCTTCCGGCTTCGCGGCCCGCTGCGCGCTGTCGCGGGGCTTCCCTCGGCGCCCGTCACGCCTCAGTCACTGCGCGCAGCAGGGAAGGGCACTTGGGGGTTTGGTTTTCAACCTGCTGCGGGAAGACCTTGCTTTTCTCAGCACCTTGTTTGTGTCTGTCGGGCTTAAAAACACACGCCATTCCGTCACCGTGGTGAGGAGGCAGCTTCGCGCAGACATATCTGCCCCAAGGAATCGCGATACCTTGTCTTTTTTTTTCTTTTTTTTTTTATTTTTTCTTTCTTCCCCTCCTTGCGTTTTCCCTGCGTGGCCTCTCTGCCCGTGAACGAGACAGATTTTACGGTGGGGTTTTTTTATCCTTATTTTGATAGTGCCTCGTATTAACTGGTTACTAGACAGTCTCACAAGGAAATTGGCCCAAGACTTGCAGATTTTACTCAGCAAATGGCCGTCCTCTGACCTGGCAGAGAAGAGTCAGCTCTAATTAGTGTTCTGCTTTGATTAAGAGCTTGAATTCAGTCCCCGCGCAGGGATGGAGAGGTCCCAGATAACCATGCACCGACTGCCCCTACAAGAGTCCAGAGCCAAAACAGAGTACAGGGGCGTTTTCAGCGTCCTGAGAGGATTTGAGGAACAACAACACGGAGAAAATGTGTTACTTTTGCAGTAAAACAAGAATGTGAACATCTTGGAATATTCTTTTTTTTTTTTTTCTTTTTTCTTCCAGGTTTATACTATCAACTTGGAATCTCGTTATTTACTAATACAAGGAGTTCCTGCATTAGGTGTAATGAAGGAACTGGTTGAACAATTTGCATTATATGGTGCCATTGAAGAGTATCATGCTCTAGATGAGTACCCAGCAGAGCAATTTACTGAAGTTTACCTTATAAAATTCCAAAAACTGCAGTGTGCAAGGTATCGGACAGGGCAGTATCTGCCTCTTGCTGCCTTTATCTTTTACACCTTCTTTATTTACAATTGGTTAAGATTCTGGAAAGTTGAAGTAAAATCCTCGGGTTTGCCAATACAATTTAATTCCCTTCAGGGTGGCCAAGAAAAAAATGGACGAACGAAGTTTCTTTGGTAGTTTGCTGCACGTGTGCTATGCCCCAGAATTTGAAACAGTCCAAGAAACCAGGGAGAAGTTGCAGGATAGAAGGAAGTATATAGCCAAAGCAACAAATCAGAGAGGTTTGTGATTACATTTCCTACGGAATCTTAACATCTCTGTGCAGTGGTGGGTGGGGTTTTGGTTAAAGTGCCCATTAAAGAAAATGCCTGGTGTCCGGCTGTTTTAAAGATGCATTTTAAGCATGTTTGCAGCAGAATGGAGACATCTTTCTTTTAAAAATGTTATCAGAAATTTCAGGCACTGGCAGGAAGTTTGGGATCATCTTTTTGCCCTTGTTCCAGCTTAATGAGGCATGCCCAAAGGGACGGTTTGTAAGGAAGGTGACTATACCAGAACCTTCAGCAAAAAATTTCCCCAGTGTACGTGTCTGCACTGGAGGAGTGCTAAGAATGGACTGGGTTTACAGCGGCTACTGGACTGCAGAGTTCCCAGGCAGCACTGAAGGCTGGGCAAGCTGAGGAACAGGCAAATGGCCAAGCACAGGCTTCTCCTTTCTTGTGCTTACGTACTTTGATGTCGTTATTTGTTGCATGGGGATACATAAAGGGAGTAAAATCACTGATTTTTAACATCAAAACACTTGGGTTTTTTCAATGTTGCAAGACAGCCTATCCTTTCTGAAATGGTAACTAGAGGTAAAAATAATTGATTTGCAATATTAGAAATATTTTCCTCATGTTCTAAGAACTGCTGAAGTACTGCTCAGGCATTCCTCACAAACCAGCAGAGGGACCAGGCTGGAAAGCTTTAGTTTGAAAGGTGCCACTTAGGAAAAAAGAGTCGCAGAAGGGTGGCTGGGAGTAACATGTCACTGGTATTGCTTCTGTAATTGTATTACATGTTTTTTCTTGTCCATTAGAACTAGTAATGACATGAAATAGTGAAGCTGCTTTTCTTTGTTGTTTTAAAGATTGCTTTGTGTTAAAGAAAGTAGAGGGGCCTAAGAAGACCATCTCAAAGATCTCTGACTGTCTGTGGGGTACACCAGGGTCATGCGCAACTGGTACCTGGGATCCATCCTGCTTTTCAAGTTGTCACAGGGTATCCCAAAACACAGGGTATCCACCTGGGAATCGTAATCAGAGCCTGCTGGCGTTTCCCCAGTATGGTAACAACTGTGCTGAAACTTGTGGGTACTCTGGCCAAAGCGCATCCCTGACTCTAAACGTACAGCCGGGAGGACACACTCCACCAGCTCCTTTAATGCAGCAAAGGATGGGTCCGGTGGATAACGGAGTTGATAGGTTTATGCCTCGTACAACTCACCTGCAAGAACGTAAGAGGAAGAGGGAGGAAGGGAGCATGTTTTCCCTCACTGGAACAAGTGCAGACAATACTGAAGTCATCATTGGTCCACAGCTACCAGAAATACCTAAAGTGGATATGGATGATGATTCACTGAATACTTCAGCTACATTAATTCGAAATAAACTGAAAGAGGTATGGATTCTGAAAGTTCTGGTATTTTCAAACATATACATTATGCAGTTGTTGTCTGTAAAAAATAGAGACCATAAGATAACTTTATTCAACATTTAGTCTTCTCAATTCATCTGCCACTTAAAGCTAGCGTTTTTACTACTTAATTCTTTCATAACACAGAATATTGCAGGCCATTCTACTCTATACCTCTCACACTACACTTCAGAAAGTAGAAATGTAAGTGCATGGCCCTAACTGATTTTTAGTAAACTGCACCTTTTTCCCCATGTGGGGAGGCACGATAACTTGGCAGGTAGTCCTGCTGACTCCAGTGTGGTACTTGTATCTCATTTCTGATTGAAAGGGAGTGAAAAATAATGAAGTCATAGTTGAATGTAGTTTTACTCCAACGCTTCTTGTGGCAATAAAGATATACAGAACCATGAATTCTATGCTGAGCAGCATGTCTTAAGGTACCTAACCTTCTATGGAGGATATTGAATCAGCAGGTCAAACGCTCCTGATAAAACTCTCCATTTAAATTAAGATATGAAAAAGCTCCCTTGACTATAACTAGTTAGACTGATTTGAAAGAGCTTATCTGCAGTCAAATTGATAAATAACCACCACCCCTTATATTAAATACATTTCTAGAGTATGTGTCAAAACACGCATTTTCTCTTTCCTTCCTGAAATACCCGAGTTTAAAAAAGATACTAAACCTTACTTGGAAAACACCTCTGGTAGGGAA